ACTTATCATTACATAGTATAAAACAGTGTCGCTGTCGCTGTCTCTCCGTCCCTATGTATGTATGTTTAAATCTATAAAACTACGCAACGGATTTTGAAGCGGTTTTTTAAAATAAATAGAGTAATAAGAAGGTTTATATGTATAGTACATGTACACCCGGACGAAGTCGGGGGGGGGGGGGGGGGGGGGGGGGGGGGGGTCATTTTTAAATTATACTTAAAAATACATTAAATCATTAAAAAAAATTACACTTATTACAAAAATTACAAATACATATATTATAGACACACATACGCATATAAACTCTTTTATTTGTTATTGGTGGTTCAAAGAAAAAAGTTTGTTCCTTTTAATAGTCGAATTTCAACTACTACTTTCAATAGTTAGTATAGATACATAGAAGTTTATCATCAACGTAAATATAGTGAAAGGCATTAGTGAAAGATGTGGTCAGTAGACATTCTAAATATACTTTCATGAAGGATGGTCTGAGTCAATCTTGAGATTCAGAAAAAAATAACATTTAGTATTGCAACTGTGTGACCAATACTTTTAGCACTGTATGTCTACAGACAAAAGCACTTTCGCAGTTATAATATTAGTATGGATTCAGAGAGGGAGGTGGAAAATTTTGTCTTGTCAATTAGACGCGATCATAAATAATTTGTATGGCTGTCAATTAGATACTCCGACAAATTGATATTAAAGCGAATTACAAGAAAACTTTGACGAAATTTGTTGTGGCTGAAAATTTGTGAAACGATATCGCTCCTTGTAATCTCGTCTTGCTTAACAATAACAAAATATCTCTTTACATAATAACAAAATATAATAACCACGGACAATTCACACAGCGCCATCTTGTCCGAAGCTAAGCAGAGCCTATGATATCAGTACTAGACAACTGATAGAAATATTTTTTATTGTAAATACAAACTATGTAATAATGTAACATAAACATATTAATATTAATACACAGCACATCTCCTGTAAAACAACATCTAGATCAGTGATTCCCAAAGTGGTCTATATCGTCCCCAGGGGTCAATGACAAACTGTAGGGGGCTTACGACAGCGGTCATCTTGTTGTTTTTACTTTATTTTTTAACACTAAACTTTACTACATTTAGAAATTTACAAAAAATCAATTCCAGGTAAGAATGGTCTAGGTCTAGGTCTACCCAAAACCAAAAAATATGGCAAGAGGCTACGACACAAAAAAGTTTGTGAACCTCTGATCTAGATTAAAGTGATTTTAGATTAAAAATTCGTTGTATGATTTTAAAAATGTAAATCATTTATTTTATAACTACTTGGAAGAGGATTATAAAAAAATAATGCAGACGTACATATAAACAAACAATTAAGACTAACCAATTACGAATTAAGATTACAGTACAGAATTTTTCAAATACAAATTTACTTGAATAATATATAAAAAAAACAAAACATAGTTGAATCATAGTCATATCGATTAAGGGGGTCTTCCTATGTGATGGGTTGAAAAAATCGATTTTTTTTTCTCATAAATTGCTCCCTTAACATGTCTAGAATACGGTAGTAAAGCGATTTTAGAAAATTCGAAGTCGTTTTAAAGATACAGCAGGTAAAAGAAAGAGCGGTTCGGAGCGGTGAGTTGGCAGTTAGAGACCGGGCCTATTGTGTACCGTCGGCTTTATACCTGGCCTCCCTTTTATTAATATATTTGTTTATACAAGTTTAGACACGTTTCTACAGACTTAAACAGAAATTTCTATTGTTATAATATTTTACCGAAGTTATTTTAGTCTTGGTTGAACTTCGAAGAGAGCAAGAGCTACAAATTATTTTTTTTCATAATGAGTGGAAAGGAAGTACGAGTGGAAATGTTCATCCTGGTCGTAGTAAAAAAAGAAAGTTTAGTGGAAACCGTTTTACCCACCAAAATGATACGGTATTTACGTCAGCTTCGGCCAAAAAACGTAAAAATAACATGAACATGAATGTTCCCATCGCTTCGAATTTCGCATATTGCATTTTGGAGTTTGTTTCTGTATTTGCTGCAATCTCTGAAATAGTTATATGTAAAACTTGTAAAAGTGACGTGTCTATTTCGCGATCAAGTTTCCGAGGCCTAGGCTTTAAAATTATTTTATCGTGTGAGTGTTAAACATCTTCATTCTGGTCCCAAAGTTGTTGAAATTGCTAGCTACTTAGCAGTTATTATCTTTAATGAAGGTTTTCAAGGTATTTTAAAAGTTATGTCGATTATGGGATGCCCTGTTGGTCGTGAAGCCCAAGCGTATGTTGAGAAACGGGATGAAAAGCGAATCTTACGCTCTGAGCGGCGCGTAAGTGATGTCGTTAAACAAGCCAGGATTGACTCAAGAGCTGAACAATCTGCTTTAAAAGAGTTTCACGAGGAAGAGGAAGGAATACTCTATGGACCAGGCATCGCCGATTGAGAGTAAGTTGATATTTTAATAGTTTTTAACGGACTTGAAATTTTAAACGCGTTTTTCTCAAAACTGTGTTTTTCAAACTTTCCTCCATTGTATCTCAGAAACGGCTGGACCGAATTACTTGAAATTTACAGGGCACACTCAATATATGTAAACGCATGGAATGAACTATTATCAATCGAAAATTTTCAAAACTTCGATTTTTTTATAGCAAAAAACAAAAAAAAAACGCCTAATTTGCAACTTTTATTTCAAATGTCTATCAAAAATCCAATTTTTTTTATATTCATTTGATTATAGGTCATTCCGTGCTTTTAAGCCTACAAATTAAAACGCCGTTTTTTTTTTTTTTCAGATAAGCCGATCAGCCGGAATCGTGGAGGAAGTGGGAGCTCTTTTTTTCGAGGCGGGGGTGTTCAGAGCGCTGTAACTCTAGTTTGACTGAATATTTTTAGCTGAAATTTTATATTTATACTGTCCAAATATGTGTTAATAAATGATAAAAAACTTGAAGGTCTAAATATTTACTGGTCGTAGAAAAAAAATCCTAAAATATCCCTAAAAAACAGGCCGTCACATAGGAAGACCCCCTTAAAAGTCAAATGGATTGATTGTCTACTTATTTATTTGTTTTTATCGTTTTTGGCAATAGACTACTATTATATAAATATATAATTGTACAGAGAATTTTTTTTTACAGTAGACATGGAGTGCTGAAAATCTAAATATATATAACTCAAAGGTGACTGACGTAGTGATCTACCAACGCACAGCCTAAACAACTGGACGAATCGGGCTAAAATTTGGCTTGCGGGTAGATGTTATGACGTAGGCATCCGCTAAGAAAGGATTTTGATTAATTCTACCCCCAAAAGGAGAAAATATGGGATGACAATTTATATGAAACTTTGTCAATTTTAAACCGATCGGGCTGAGATTTTGCATGCATAAAGCTACTATGACGTAGGCATCGCCTAAGAAAGGATTTTGATAAATTCCACTCCTAAGGGTATAAATTAACGCGAGCAAGACAAGAGCTAGTGTTTTATATAATTACATCGGGTAAGCCTAGTAAAATACTGGAGTAAAATACTAACTACAAGTTTTAAAAGTAAGCGATAACACTAAGAACTTTGAAGTTTATTTCAATACTTTATTGTACAGTAAAGAAACTTAATATGAAAGAATATAAAGTTGCTAAAATATAAATAAATACAATAGTAGACTTATGTCAATAGACGTATTTCTTTAAGTCAACGTTTGAGTAACTTAGCGGAAATGTGGACTGGAAATAAAAAGAAATAAGTAGATACATTACAGGACACGTGTTGCTATAAATAGGTGCCTATAATGTCGTCGGTATATAATATCATAAAGAATTCTTTCAGTTATATTATACTATTAGATATCATTCATTTATAGAAATATAAATAAAAGAAAAATATACCTGTACTAAGTATAACAAATACCATCTATATTTTTACGTTATAAATGCGAAATAATAATAATCTCAGGACAATTCGCACAGCGCTATCTAGACCCAAGTTAAGCTAGCTAAAGTTTGTGTTATGGGTACTAGATAACTGAATGTTTTCAGTTTGTTGCCGATTACAGATTTCAATGACATTTGACTTTAAGATATCTTGTATCTCGAGTGGAAATGCTATATTTAATTAAAAAGATCAAAGACGAGTAAATACTAGTTGATTGCGTGCCACTAATTCTGTGATAGATCCATGTTGTGTAAGAATGAATAGGACTGCATACTCATTTGCATGAACAATCCAATAGAGTATAAATTTTTAAAAAAATATGCATGACTTTGTAATTATAATAACATATCTGAAAAAGGACCAAAACCTTTTATATTTATTGTAATAATAGATTGAGCTATGTAGAACGGAACGCAAATATTTACAACAAAATGTCGATTAAAAGTATTGCTATCACGCTTGGGTTATAGGAGACGAAGGGGCTCTGAAAAGAGATAGAACGAATACTGAATTATACCTATATCCTATATCGTAATTTTATAGCGTGGCCACACTCCTTTTGAATATATACTGCACGATTGCGTCATGAGCGTCAGTTTGAATATTACACTCCCACATAAAATAGGCGTAAAATGGTAACACTGTAAAAAGGCCTACACACGACACTAAAATCAGGGGCAATATCGAATCAGTAATGAAGGGTGCCCTAAATCGCTTCCTAGATCACAGGGTATGTAATACATCTCGATCGTATAGTGTGTAATCTGCCCCGTGTGTAAAACGTTTAAATGCTACTGCATTTTCCATAGGGACTAGTCGCCCACACTTATTTACTTATAGTACACTGTTATAGCTACTATTACGCCTTTAATCACCACCTTCGTTGACTGCTCCGACCCCAGCGCAGACCCACAGTCCCACACAACGGGAGTTAATTTTATACAAGTTATAAAGAAAACCTTCTTTATAACTTGTATAAAATAAACTCCCGTTGTGTGGGTTTTTCAAAAAAAAGTTTTCTTGGATGACTCACTTTAAAATTAGAAACAAATTAAATTTAACTTACCACAGGCAGTACAAATCCTTCGCAGTAATCAATGTGTTCTCCAATAAGATTGACTCGGCCGGGCGCGCTGGCGGCCACGACCGGCTCGCAACCATACGTCGCGACGTATTTATCCCGTGCCAGTTGCAACAGTCTCGCTGTGCCAACTGGCTGTACCTCGTTGCTCATCTGTTAAATAAAATTAAATTGGTCATAAATTACGTGATACTTCAAGGGGGAAGATCGGCTAAGTTTGACATTATTTTTTTTTTGGGATGATAATGAAATGGTGCACCCACCTGCGCTAACTGAGCACCAGTGGAGGATGATAAGATGAACATGAGGTTAGATTATAGCCCATCGTGACAAATTCCTCTCTCTTAAGGTACTGTATTAATAAATAATAATAATACTAGATTTTAATTAAAAACATATTTATTCATGTTGATTTATTGCAGGCTTTTATGATTTGTGAAATCTACCGTACTTCGGAGTGCTAAGTTCGAGTTAAGAAGAACTTAACAGGAAACTCAGCTTTTATTCTTTTTAAATGAGCTTATACATGATTACAAAAATTATAATATAAAAAAATGTTTTATTAGGGAGAACTACCATAACCACCAGCATATGCTATAGCATATAAATAATAAATATTTTATTATTTATAAATATTTTACTATTTACTGTATTTTCTTATTATTTTATATGTACACAATAAAGAGTTTTATTATTATTACATAAAAGGAATTCTGGACAAAATTACGCAAATATTATACTATATTCTTTATTGTAATAATTTGTATTACTTCTAATAGACCTATTTAAACTAAACTTTAACTACATTTTATTAGTGGAAATTATAAATCAAATTTGTAGGCAAAATACATTATTCATTCTAAGCACTTGACGTAAACGAAGTCGCAAGCAAAGCTAGTATATGTTATTAATAGGGATTCTCTGAAAATAATTTCCTACACTAATTAATGCGCAGTATTTAGCTTAAAGCAATTACGTGCCTAGTTATAATAAATCTGTCAGTACTAAGTACCTGTTATAACATTTTAATTAGTTTGTAGAATATAAAGAAAATAATTATTATTTACTTACAATAACTAATAAATCTAATATTTTATCTATAAAGCAAAAGGTAAATAATTTGTTTACCAATCAATTATTTCTATCAAGACTCAACAGAATATATAGAAATAAAACATATGTAGTTACAATGACGATCTATTGTTATTAGAACAATTAGGTACTAAACGTTTTTTTTTATTTTTTCTGATACCTTCCAATATACATATTGGTAGGTATCAGATAAAAACATAATACATATGTAAGGTTATATATTTATACCTAATTTATATATGTATATTTATTAATACTTTACCATTTACTATTTTTCTTATTATGTTTCTTCTTTGTACACAATAAAGAGTTTATTACTATTATTAAATATCTTTTTTGTTACTGACTGACTATGTCTGCAGATTTGGCCAATTGGAATAGGAAACGCCACTACATCCTATGTGGTTGTATTCCGCTAATGCATAAACAAAATATCTCCTTTGGAAAGTACACATTCAACCTTGAGGAAATTAAAAACCATCACTCCTAAGAAAATTCTCAATTCTTGTAGCAAACTGGGCGAGCACAATAGATCTTTGCAGATTGCAGTGTTATAGATCTAAAATATTGAGAAATACCCTCTGTTATTGACGTACTGGCCACATTTTTTATAGTTCATATTTTGGATACAGAATATTCTAATAAAGAATTTTTACAACAACACCCTCAATAAAAATGTAAATAAAGCTTGAAATCTAAATATATATAACTCAAAGGTGACTGACGTAGTGATCTATCAACGCACAACCCAAACCACTGGACGGATCGGGCTGAAATTTGGTATGCAGGTAGATGTTATGACGTGACGTAAAGGGATAAAATAGGGGATGAAAGTTTGTATGAAACTTTGTCAATTTTAAATCGATCGGCCTGAGACTTTGCATGCATAAAGCTACTATGACGTAGGCATCCCTTAAGGAAGGATTTTGCTAAATTCCACCCCTAAGGGGATAAATTAACGCGAACGAAGCCGCGGGAAAAAGCTAGGATGTATATATTTTATTAAATTATTTTATGTTTACTTTTCTTACTATTGTAAGCACTGAATAATAATTTTCTTTCATTCTGAAATCACCACGACGAGCTAACTGACCTAACTTCATCTATCGTCCATGACCGGTGGATGATAGGATCTTATGAAGATGAAGATCCTCGCCAGCGTATACCGCTAGTGCGTTTGGAGACACCATTTCATTATCACCGTTTAAAAAATTTCTGTCATTATTATGAAAATCCTCCCTGTGTACGCTTCTCTGGAATTATAGTGATAAGTATATCTTTACAAATTTCTTATTAAATTGAAAATTGTAAGAACCGTAGTACATTTTATACATTATAATTCGATTGGCGACTAAATTGGTAACCCTCTATACATCCATTACGCAAGACCTTTCTCACACAAATGACGATTATATTATTAAGTATTCTACATACATCTTGTAAGCCCTTTCTCACATGTCTATTTATTGGTGGATTTAGAGATAATTCATATGTTTTTCTAACTAATTAACATATTCTCTTAGAGAGATAATCCAGGACACCAAAGGACACAGATAATGTCGCCGGCTAGACACTAAATTGTTCAACGGAATATGTAATCGTTATTTACCATATTTCTCATCTTATTTATAGTTTAATACATAAAGACATAATAAAAGATAAGAATAAAATCGATATTTCTGTTTGTAATTTCAAATTAACAGCTTTTCACTTAAGCGTATACGAAAAAATAATAACTACAATCAGTTTTCTCTCTCTGTTTATCTAATTTGGTGTACTAATCTCTGCTATCGAGTTGAAGAGACTTTTTTTCGCAGTTAGCTAATGTTATAAGGTGTAACTTAGAGTACTTTTATTTTAGAAAATGTATTTCTTATAAGAAAACAATGTTAAATGCGACGCAGATAAAATCGCGGGTGATATTCGATAAATATTCTCACAATTGTAATCCCAGATAGGGTTTTTTATGGACGATAATCGAGTAGTGCACCCGCCTGGGCTTACGGTATACTCTAGCGGGGCATCAGTGGATATGATAAGATGAACATGAAGTCAGGTCACTTAGCCCATAGCATAAATGCACAATACATACTCAATATGGTCATGTTATTTAGCAATTATAATAATTATCTTATCTATGGTTTAGTATAGGACTTATTCTATAACTGCATCCAGCCTCTTTCTCATTATATATGATCAATATTTGATCAAGTATGAATATAAAATCTTCATGGCCATCTAACTATGATTTAATTTTTATTTATATAATGATTCAGAATTCAAATTTGGAATAAATAATTTTTTTGGTTCTGTTTATCCTTTATCGGAAAGGCAAAGGGAACTGCATCCATACAGCCATGCCTTCATATTAATTAAAATTATTAAACTAATTAATTAACACGCTATTTTATTGTGTCATATTTACATAAATATGACACCATAAATAGGCGTGTTAAGACTACACTTTTATTTTGTGAAATTGCTTAATATAAAACACTAGTGAACAAGAAAGTTGTATTATTTTTTGGGTTTTAATCAATTCAATATTTCTAGTGTAATAGTACTAAACACCTATAAATATAATATTTATTATATTCAGAATCATATTTGAAATGTAGATAACAGATTATTTTCAAGTGTGTTGATTTAATTCTCGTTAATTACATATGAATTATCGTGTAGTTACAACTGATACGATATGATAACTTCATTTAAGTGTTTGTATTTACCACAATCTACTGGATCTAGGGTTCCCACACGTAGTGTTGTACGATATACATACCATAGAATGGAAACAGTACAATATGTATTTTATTAACATTGATGAGTCGAGATTTTTATATATTAAAATTAATAAATAACATTGGACAATTTACACATAAGCTGGAACAAAATTTCGACGTTGGTATTTTATATTTGTCATAATTCTCAATCGTCACAGGAAAAAGTAATAATATTAACTTAAAATAATACAATTAATAATAAAAACTGTACACGTATAGTTTTTCCCTGCTAAAAGAGTTGTTTTTATGTCTTAAAAACTAAAATACTGTGTTTAAACGTTACCCTTATATCGTTGTAAGCACGGATTATTATATTAGAGCCTGTTAGTTTCTGTACCTGTTTTTTCCCTTACCTATGACAGTACGGACTTGTCTCGCGCGCGCATATTCCCTAACTATAATAAAAAATATTACAAACTGAGTGATTAAGTGACTAAAAGCAAGTGAAAATTTCACCTGGATGCTGGCCCGTGTTAAGGAGCCCAGGAAACCCTATCAGAAACATACAGGTAGGAGACAGACGCTTCCACATATAATATTTTCCCTATCATACTATTTTTCATTAAAAAAAGGTGGCAACCCTAACTCTATTAAATATATAATCTATACGATCGATAGCTCTCTATATCAAATACCACAGACTAATTAGAATATTAGATACGACTGCAATATTACTCCTGTGTATAAGTGTTTCCAGCTGTTACTTATTAAGTGCCTAAAGCAAAGTGGTCAGTCGTATCCGACTCAGTATTTGCTTTAAACTACTCAACTCTACTACTACACAGCAACCTTAGCTTTGAAACTACTCACTAATAACTACTTTAATTTACTAGCTGTGGCCGCGACTTCATCCGCATGTTATAGTGACCTTAACCGAAAGAAGAAAACATATTTCATAATCTAACCCAAAAAAACCAAAGAACAAAATTTCATCGTTCTAGCTTTTTTCTCCTATTTTATTTTTTTTATAAATTTTGAATGTCATATTTATATATAATTTCAACAGCTTAAATAATAAGTTCTAGCTTTAAGCTTTAAAAATATTTCCATACAAACTTTCAGCTTCCCTTTCAACCCCTTACAACCCTTTTATCGCATTAAAAAGTAGCCTCTGTTCTTTCTTAGAATCTAGGCTATCTATAGTGTACGAAATTTCATTCAACTAACTACTGAACCGATTTACGGTTCATTAGTTTTGGCGCGAAATTGAAACAGATAGACAGACAGACAAAGTTACTTTCGCATTTATAATATTAGTAAAGATTCCATTCTCTTAGACTTTTTTTTCGTAATAGATTTTAATGCAATTATCTACAGATATAAAAAGTTACCCTTTTTCCTTACTCACGTAACTATGAGCAATAAAAAAGACGAATAAAATCTGACAAACCGATCCTATTTTATTCGTGTTTGTTGTTTTTTAAAACTTCGTCGATTCTTAGGTAGAGAAATAATAAGTAAAATTGCGAGCGACATGGATGACTTCTGAAAACTCAACTACTATTTTAATTTCGCTGATTTGAGTTATTTTTTTAGAGAAATAATAATAATAATAATAATCTCAGGACAATTCACACAGCGCAATCTAGACCCAAGTTAAGCTAGCTAAAGCTTGTGTTATGGGTACTAGACAACTGATACAAAACATAGATAATTTTTTTTTCGTAAATACATACATATTATACATAGAAAATACCCAGACCGATACTAACAATCATACTCATGAATACAAATGTTTGTGCCGTGCGAGGAATCGAACCCGCGAGCATCGGACGCAAAGCGGTGTGCTAGACCGCTAGACTACCGAGCTACATAAATTTGTATAAATACTACTTGGGAGGGGATTGTTGTAATGGAAACTAGTGACACACTTTGCTATCAAGATGTACCCTACATTGCTATAGGCAACTCCTTAGTGTTAATTTCAAAAATAGAATCGTCAAAATTTATATTCAACAGGGAGAGAAAGGAATATTGTTTTCAATAAGCTTTCTGTAATACTAGCTTTCTGTAATACTAGCTTTCTGTAATACTAGCTTTCTGTAATACTAGCTTTCTGTAATACTAGCTTTCTGTAATACTAGCTTTCTGTAATACTAGCTTCCTGTAATACTAGCTTTCTGTAATACTAGCTTTCTGTAATACTAGCTTTCTGTAATACTAGCTTTCTGTAATACTAGCTTTCTGTAATACTAGCTTTCTGTAATACTAGCTTTCTGTAATACTAGCTTACTGTAATACTAGCTTTCTGTAATACTAGCTTACTGTAATACTAGCTTTCTGTAATACTAGCTTCCTGTAATACTAGCTTTCTGTAATACTAGCTTTCTGTAATACTAGCTTTCTGTAATACTAGCTTTCGTAATACTAGCTTTTTGTAATACTAGCTTTCCGCCCGCGGCTTCGCCCGCGTGGTCATAAGATATATAGGTTATCGCGCATTTAAAGAGCCATGTTCAGTAGTGGTTATATATCCTAAATTTTTCTCTTGAGTCACTCTATCTATACCGTCTATTAAATAAAAACAAACCAAAATTCGCGTAGTTTTTTAAGATCAAAACATACATATTCGTCGTACATAAACGGCTATTACATATGTAGAAGATATTTTAATCGGAAATTGCAGCCGTTTAATTGGTATTGCCAGATTAGTTGGGATTATCGGTATTATGTATATATATATATATATATATTTCGTGTTAAATTCCTGATGAATTTATCACGATGGGCTAACTGACCTGACCTCATGCTCATCTTATCATCCTCCACTGGTGCCCCGCCAGCGTATGCCGTTAGCGCAGGCGGGTGCACCATTCCATTATCATACAAAAAAAGCCGTCAAAATTGTCGCATAACATACATATAAAACACAATATTTATGTTTAAACATAGGCATAGTCACGTGTAACTAATTTATTTATGATTTGTTCCCATTCGCTTATGAGTTCGACGAGATGAAAATGAAAATGTATTCGCTACTCCGTCACAGAGCAATATCACAGTCATATATATGTTATCGCGTTTAGAAACTGTTCTAAAATGTACTAATATTATAGGAAACGTTACTCAGTGTAATCTTACCTTAATTAGAATGCTGTAGGTTTGTAAACAAACAATAATTCACTATATCACTATAATGCGTAAAGTGTTTATTCGCACACACCCAGCGTTGAAGAACTAGTACGTTTCATTGTTGTTTTATTGCTGTTAGTTAAGCTAAGTATACATGATAACACTCGTCTCTCGCCATCCCACTCTAACGCGTGTTATCTTTAACAACAAAGTGTATGTACAACACGAAAATGTTTCAAATTATTTAATTTCATACAATAACAGCTATGTTTAATTAAATTACAATTATCGTTTGATAATTTTAGGTTACGTTATTAACTGATAGAATTCTGAAAATTTTGTAATCTTTTGGTAATATTTTAATATTATTTGCAAAATTCTTAAATAGATAGTATTGACATTATACATGAATGTTATGTTTTTTTTATTTATGGAGTTTTATTTTCTACACGGAAATTAAAATATTAAAAACCAATAATATAATTTATGAAAAATATTATGTTATCTGAGAATTTTATATGGAAGATACAAGAAGCATTTGCAAGGATGTAAATGGTTTTGTAATGGATGAGGATCAATCTCTGGATCACTTACTTCATCTCTGGTTCTATGATTACTAACATTTTGTATTGTACCGCTTATATTTATTGATAAATTGATGAAAATATAGATGGCAGAAAGCAGAATTGTCGCAACTTGAAAAACCCAACTTTACACCAGAACCAAAATCTGCTTTAAAATTCATCACTCGTACATTTATCGACATAGAAAGTTGGTAGGTTAAATACATACTATTTTTGCAACTTTCTATCGCGATGAATACCTATATGAGTTGAGAAAGGATTTTTGTAAAGTTGGGATAAGAATTTTTTCAATTCTGCTTTTTCCGTCTAATATCATAAAGATTCCGTGCTTCATCCAGAATTTATTGAACCTATAAATGTATTAGTACATTTTATCAACATTTCAAGGGATATGAATCGTGAAGACAATAAATTGAAGGATATATAATATTAGAATACTACCATAGACGATGTCTGTATGAGCTGAGTGCTTTTGCCTTTATCTGAGATGGGAAAACCAAATAAAAAAAAAAGTTATACTATTAATAAAAAACGAGTAAATAATCCTGATTTTTTACGACGACCGTGACAATTGAGTTATGCCGGATGTTAAGCCACTACAGGCAAATAGTATAAATTACAGCATGGGTGAAAAGAATGATTCGCTTCGTTTACGTTTCTCTTGACATTGCTTGATATCACGCGATATTTGTAAGTACTTAGTACAGTTAGTCATTGTTTGTTTAACATAACTGAAATAACTATAAAATACCATTTATTTGGGGAAGGGGATTGTTAGTAATGTAGACTAATGATCCCATTGTTAACAATATACCATGTCAAGTTGACTCCATACGGTTTCCCCTGGAAACCATTGTGATAAATTCCTGCTGAATGTGTCGTAATGGATTGTTGACCTGGCCTCATCCTCATCTTATCATCCTCCACTGGTGCCCTGCCAGCGTATACAGTTGGGCAAACGAGTGCATTACATTATCATACATTAAAAAAACATTTTCAAAGAATTAGGGAATAACTTTCAAACACCTGAAGTTACGTATAAATTATGAATTATGTTAGCTTTCAAACAATAAAATCCATTCATTCTTTGCAATGTCACAGATAGACATAAAACTGGAGTGAGATTCGAAGATAATTTAAGAGCCGCGCTCTTTTCAGTAGAGTTCTTGTAATTTCCTACGATTTTCCATCAATCTCTTTAATTGTTGATACGACACGACTCCATCTTTTTCCTTGATCTGCTTGATATAGCAGTCTTTGCCTTTCAATTTTTTATTTATATTTTCTTTTAATAATAATATTCGTAAGTGCATCGTGCCATATCAAGTACCCCAACATTTTTCCCCGTGGAGTGAGATATTCCAATAATTTCGTTACCAGAAAATTCTAGAAATTTTAAATGTGGTGTTTTAACTCGTTAAAGAGCGCAATGAAAAATCTTATTCCTCACATAGGGACCGGCATCTTTTTATTGTAAATTACGTGAGGCTATGTCAAATTAACTAAGGCCGCTATATGCATCTCTTCGAGGGACCAGCGGGTGAACTACTGTACATAAATTTAAATTTAAATCATGCCCACAGGTGTACAAACAGTCCCCAAGTAAAACATATCGTGTAGGTGGGCACCCTTGTGCACGCGGGCTGGTAATATTGTTGCGGAGTGACCCACCGGTTGGCATGCGATCTTTGACGAGTTAAGAAACATTTAAATATTGCTTCTAGAATTATTGGAATATTATGCAATGATAATGACTCTCGATATTAAAATGTAATATTATGTGCCACGCCTAATGACAAACACGGTCAATGTTATCTCGCGGTCATAATCAGTACATTGCCCCTTGATATTAAATTCTTCTTTACACTTATATGGTAATAGCTGAACAAGCAACTGCTTGTTTTTTTAACTAAATACATACTTAGATTGCTTATTAAAGATTCCTATTATACTAATAACAGTGTTCTATGGCTTTCTCTGTATATTATAATATAATACCCATTCACAAAATGTACTTTTATTTTTTTAATCTATACCTAATTACGGTTTTATAAGCTGTCAGAGCCCCAGTGGAAACTGAAATAAAAACGCTGTTGTAAATGTAATAAGAAAGAAGTTGTATTACGTATAGGTCGACCAGAAATGGTACATTACTAGCTACTACTACCACTAGTTATTATTAATTAACTATCCCCTCTCCCCTTCACATCCCCATAACCCACGATCACCACTACAAAAATTCCCTCCCCTAAGGAATACGTATATAATTACATACCAGCTATTTAATGTTAAAATTTTATTATCTACTTTATAAAAAATAACGTTACTCGATTAAATTTATACTCGATTATATCGCATATCTATTCGATACGTTTATTCGCAAAGTGCACGACCCATGTGATCGAAATATGCACAATATGATATGTCTCATTCCATTATGCACAGACGAGTCTGCTGTGCAGTGAATTATTCAATTGAGTTTAATGACCCAGCGAATTGATCTATTGATAGCTATTAGAAAAAAACCAATAAATATTGAAGTGTACATTAAAAATTCTGTCAAAAAAGAGGTTCATGGCAAATGTACATATATTGTTACATACATTCCCAGAGCATACCACAACCTTTATGTTTCTTAAAAGTGTCTTAAAGAAAAAAAAGTATCATAAACTATCAGTACTGTGCGGATTACCTTTGCGTTTCAGAATTCAATTAATATTCTCTAGTACAGCAATTTATATTATTCATAACCAAAACGAAGTACAAAGTTTATCTTTCACGTAGATTTATAAAGTACCTACGTTGAAATGTCTGACCGTAGCTGTCATTAAAAAACTCAACAGAATTCACTATCAGCGAAAGACAATATCATAACGGTTTACGCAAATACATTTAAAGTAAAACGAGATCAACGTCGTTCTTTTTTTCGAGTTCCCGCTGAACTCCGTTTGCTTGGACGTTTATACTACGATTGGTGAAATCCGACCTTAGTGTTTATGCCAGTTGGCATTAAACTCGCCAATTTATACAAATTAATAAATACAAAAAAGTATTGTTATAGTAACTGTAAAATGATTGACAATTGATGCATGCAAATGCATTTTGTAGTAATTATAATTATATGCACATATCAGGACAATTCACACAGCGCCATCTAGTCCCAAGCTAAGCAGAGCTTGGATAATGCGTATGAGACAACATAATTAGTATCTATCAGTAATACCTGTAACTATCAAGAACATTATTTAGAATGTTACTAATATTATAAACGCGAAAGTTTGTGAGTATGGATGGACAGATATTTGTTACTCTTTCACGCAAAAAACTACCGAACGGATTTTAATGAAACTTTACAGTAATATATGTAGCTTATACATCATAATGACATATAGGCTATAAATTTCATGAGGGTGAATCCCCGGGCGCAGCTAGTCGGTTATAATTTGACAGAAACTCCCAATTTTACACTGAAACTTGCCGGAACATTCAATTGATTGAAGTAAATATGTCTCTGCTATGTTATTTATATTAGTTACATATCCTCATTAGGGTCATACAAAGTATTATTATGTGAAACTAGAGTATTATTAGCCAGCGTTGTTAATTAAGACACAACATCTCGTCATTAATTATTATAATAATTGCGTAAAGCGTGCCATACCATACCAGACCGCAAGTTAACTGTTATATAATCGAATCTGGATCAAATTGAATTCCCATAAAAATTTAACAAAATAAAGATCTGATAATTAAAATAATGATAACAATCACACGGCGCCATCTATTTCCAAGCTAAGCAGAACTTTTATTATGGGTACTAGACAACTGATAGAAATAATGCGATTTTAATTATATTCACATTTAAATTTATCAATACCCATAGATATGATAAAGTAATAATAACCCCGGACAATTCAGCGACATCTAGTCCCAAGCTAAGCAGTGCTTGTGTTATGGGTACTACAACAAACACTTAAATGCATTTTATTTCCTAAATATATACGTAAAATACGTATAAAACACCCATACAAATAATCATACTCATGAATACAAATGTTTGCAATGTACGAGGAATCGAACCCGCGAATATCGGACGTATGTAAAGCAGTGTGCTAAACTAGTATGAAAAATTTGTAAATTCATCCTTTTAATTCACATATGCCACTGCACGCTATACTGCAAACTCTGCACATTTAAATATACATATTTATATATTTTTGTGTCAATTTTTCTTTTTTTTTTTAACATTTTTAGAATTGTCATTTAATTTATTGTCATTTTTTCACTATTACTGTCCGTAGTGTACCTACATCTACATTACTTGTATTTACCATTTTACAAGTTGACCAGCATCATTAGAAGCCGGAAACTGCCTCCGTATGATGTACTTGTTAAAACAATAGTTAATGATTTAAAAAAGATAATAAAAAAAACAAATATAAAAAAAACGTTGTGTCATTCATTATCATTCATCTCGCACATACAGTTCACTCATTCTATCGCCCACATTTTGACTTTGGAATGGCTGTT